TGTAACAGAGTTGATGCAATCCACTGTAAAAGTGACAAAAACAGACAAATTTATTTTATTGCAGTGATTAATTTATCTATATGTAGAAAATGTTACACAAAACTCACGCAGACTGGAGGGTCCAAATCCCGTGAGCCCATCCTGACACGCCTGCCTCGTTCCTGTCTGTCCTGGAAACATCAGAGTTCAGAGCGAGCAGCTGAAACTCTGTCAGTTGTTGAGGTTCAGCTGAAGAAACCACACCTGAGAGCTGCAGGTGTTCCAGGATCTTCAGCTTGTGGAGCTGCTCGTGTTGACCTGGTTTCCACCAGAACCTTTTTTTTCTCCTGCGGTGAAACCTCTGCAGCTCCGAGGAGCTAAAAATAGAGCTGCTGCAAAAATAAAACTATTTCCTGTCCTCAGATCACAGCAGCTTTTAACGTCTTTAACCTGCTGCTAATTGGGTTCAAACAAAGCTGACTCAGCAGTTTTTTCATCCAGTCATTGATTTATTGGTGACTCGGTTTAAACCATAAAACCCTCTGCAGGTTTTAATAACCGGACTGAACCGAGTCGTGAAGCAGAAAGAGGAAAACAAAGCTGGACTCCAGAGTTCAGAGTTTGTCTGGAGATAAATTTAGTTTTTCTGACTGGAAGCTGATTGTGACGCTCCTCCTCTCACTCACTCAACTTCCTCACTTTCTGCTCGTTTTGACTGAAAGTGGCTCTTTTTTCTGACACCAGCCGAGCTCAGTCTGCGGCTCGGCTTCTAAACTCCGGTCCAAAGTCCAAAAATAAAGAAAACTGTTTAAAGTTCAAAGACGAGAGGAAACAGCTGAGGTTAACCTTCTGCTCTGTCAGAAATAAACTCAGTTTTTATGTTTTAAAAAGAAACTTTAAATCTTGACTTTGAACTTGTTTTTGTGTGCGTGCCTCCAGCATTCACTGTTTTCATGTTTCTCTTTATTCTGTATTATTCCAGTTTCTTCCGTACGTTTTTTGGACCGCTTGTCCTTCCACAATTTTTGTGCTACTGAAACCATTCATATATCAAAATGTTCAGCTCCTTCAGGACATTCCAGATATGATTTTTGGTATCTTAACTTTTTATACTTTTTTAGCAATTTCAATTTTTAAACAGTTTTTTCCCATTGACTTTTAATGGGTACGTTTTTTGTACAGCTTCTTCCACAATTTTTTTGCTACTGAAACCATTCATATAACAAAATGTTCGGCTCCTTCAGGACATCCCAGATATGATTTTTGGTTTCTTAAATTTTTTATAGATTTTTAGCAATTTCAATTTTTTGAATTTTGGTTATGATGATGTCATCAGTGACATAATCAGTCTCATCAGTGACATCATCAATTTGTTTCTTAGCTTCAGATAAAGTTATCAGAAAGAGGCATTCACACTAGCATTTTCGCCGGAAATGTAAATTCTCTAGTTATTTTTGTTTCCATCAGTTTTTATGGAAATTAAACTGAAAATCAAGAATTTTTTTTCTAAACATTTTTTCTAAACATGACCTAATGTGTGCAAAACATCTCAGGACCATGTTTTAAATCGTTGCTGTTTCCATGACCGTTAGTTCCTTTAAAAACATCTGGCTGGTTTTTGATCTCTGTGCTCCCTTTAGCTTTTAGCTTTAAGACACAATTTTGCTAATATTAGCTAATATTAGCTTTGTAAAATCACAAAGTTTACCTTGTAAATTTTCAACTTAAAATGTTTTAACTTTATAAAGTTACATTACAAAGCTAATTTCTCCTGGGATTAATAAAATATTCTGCTTCTAATTTTAGCTTTAAGCTACCATTTCGCTAACATTAGCTAGTAGGTTCTGTTGATTTAATGTTTTAACTTTAATAATGCTGGTTTTATCTTTTATTTTTGCTCATTCCAGCTTCTAGCTGCTGTTTCTCCTATTTTAGCTCTTAGGCTGATTGTTTTGGCTATGGTTTAGCAATTATGTAGCTTTGCTATGCTTGTTTTAGCTTTTAGTAATTTTTTTCTTATTTCAGGTTTTAGCCATCATATTGATTATTTTATATTTTAGCTAAAGCTTGGCTCATGCTAGTTTTAGCTACTGTTTTGTTCATGTTAACTTGATCTAGTTTAGCCGATTTTAGCTTTCAGCTACAACATTTTTTATTCTGGTTTTTGGCTATTGATTTAAATTTTAGCTTTTAGTTATAATTTTGTTTGTTTTAATTTTATACTATAGTTTTGTTTATTTTAATTTTAAACTATAGTTTTGCTGATTCTAGTTTTTGGTACGGTTTTAACTGTTTGTTTTAAGCAATGTTTTTGCTGATTTTAGCTTATAGCTATAGCTTTGCTTGTTGTAGATATTGGCTCATGGTTCCATTTCTAGCTTTTAGCTACAGGTTTGTTTATAAATTTTAAACTATATTTTTTGCTGATTCTAGTTTTTGGTCCAGTTTTGTTTGTTTTTAAGCAACAGTTTAGCTGATTTTAGCTCATAGCTATAGCTTTGCTGATTTTAGCTTGTATTTTGCCCACTGTGTGTGTGTGTGTGTGTGTGTG